CCCGGCCAATAGGAAACAGTTGGGCGGGGCTAGCTGTCACTGCTAGCTCCACCCAATTGTTTCTTTTTTTTTCTTTTTTAAATGATCTTTATTTTTGGTTTTTCTTTTTGCAATGATCTTCTTTTTTTTTTACTTGTTTCATTCAATGATCTTTATTTTACTTTTTTATACAATGATCTTTATTTTTTAAATCGTAATTTTTTAGGATTTTTCATCTATTTACCTTTTTAAACATTTTGTTTCTACTTTTTGCACTGTTTTTCTATTCTCCTCGGTACCACGGAGGTACCAAGCTGAATAGCCGAGACAAATGCCGCTCGGGGGCATTCGGCTATTCACTCACTGCCATTACCTGATGCCTGGCTTGTTAATTGCCCATGAGGGCCAGGTCCATGCTGTTTTGCCGGCTCAATGCTGATTGACCAGGTAGCCAGTATTCCGGCCAATCAGGAAGGTGGGAGAGCATTGATGGTGCCTTTCCAGATGTGCAACTTGCCCATTCCATACCCAGTAATGCACCCCATACCATCAGAGATGCAGACTTTTGAACTGAGCACTGATTACAAGCCATAAGGTCCTTCTCTTCAGTTCAAAGGACTCCAAGCCCATGGTTATCAAAAAGAATGTAACATTTTGATTCGCCTGACCATTAAACAGTTTTCCACTTTGTGAAGGACCATTTTAAATGGGCTTTGGCCCAGAGAAGATGGGGGCGTTTTTGGATCATGTTCATATATGTTCAGATTCTCCTTTGCAAGATAGAGCTTTATCTTGCATTTTTGGATGGTACAGCAAACTGCGTTCACAGACGGTGATTGCAGTGAAGTGCAGTGATGTCCATCACAGAATCATGCCTGTATTTAATGCATCGCTATCTGAGGGCCCGAAGATCACAGGCCTCCAATATTGCGTTTCGGCCTTGTCCCTTGTTCCAGATTCTCGGGATCTTCTGATTATATTATATACTGTAGATAATGATATATTTAAAGTCTTTGCAATTTTACATTAAGGAGCATTATTATGAAATTGTTCAACCATTTTTAGACACAGCTTTTCATAGATTGGTGAACCTCTGCCCATCTTTACTTATGAAACACTCTGGCTCTCTAAGATGCTCTTTTTATACCCAATCATGTTACTGACTTGTTACCAATTAACATAATTAGTTGCAAAATGTTCTTCCAACACCTCCTTGCTAGTACCACTTACTTTGCCAGCTTTTTGTTGCCCTGTCCCAACTTTTGTGAGCGGTGTTGCTGCAATAACATATGGATTTATGAGATTTGCAAAGCATTGAATTCTGTTTTCATGTAGATTTTACACAGCATCCCAACTTTTTTCGAATTGGGATTGTAGTATAACAGAGCAAGATCCTTTTACCAGTTTTCTAGATGCTCCCCATCAGCACTGTCCCACAATAGTAGAAGATGGTACCACACATTGCAGAGCCACAGTCTTCCCTCAGTGCACTCAATGCAGAATGTCTCCTTCTTAACCTCCCTGGCGGTATTCCCAAGTGTGGCTTGAGGTTTATTTTCAGTACCAAGAGCGGTAACCCTGAGCCACACTCGGGATTGCGCAAAAAAGTCACTTACCTTGTCCCTGCGAGCACGCGGTGTCCTCTCCGGAGTTCGCCAT